TTTACCACGTAGTCAGCTGTGTCCAACGACACAGCAGATCACTGGGTAAATACAGTTGCCGGGTTATCGGCTGCACTTTCCTCACGCTGTCACAGTGGGAGGAAAGTATTGCCGAGAACCATCAATTCTCAGTGAAGGGATCGGCACTGATCATCAGGGCACTGATGATCAGTGCCCAGCCGTGCCGTCCACCTGTGCCACCCATCTGTGCCCATCAGTGCCGCCCATCTGTGGCCATCAGTGCCACCCATCAGTTCCGTCCATCAAAGCCGCCTATTAGTGCCTCTTATCAATGCCCATCAGTGCTGCCTATCTGTGCCACCTCATCAGTGCCCATCAGTGCTGCCTATCAGTGCAGCCTCATCAAAGCACATCAGTGAAGGAGAAAAATTACCTGTTTGCAAAATTGTATAATAGATACAAAGAAAAACTTTTTTTTTTTTTTCAAATATTTTGCTTTTTTTTTGTTTATAGCGCAAAAAAATAAAACACCCAGTGGCGATTAAATACCACCAAAAAAAGCTCTATTTGTGTGAAAAAAAATGCTAAAAATGTCATATGGGTACAGTGTTGCATGACTGCACAATTGTCATTCAAAGTGCGACAGCGCTGAAAGCTGAAAATTGGCCTGGGCAGAAAGGGGGTACATATGCCCTGTAGGCAAGTGGTTAAAACTGAACATATATTTATTATACAGGTTCTGAGGCTAATTGAATGCAGATAAGACACCAAGTGAGTTTATTCATCACCTTAATCAGCCACAGAACCTGTGTAATTAATATGTGTTCGGTCTTAAAGGGATGAGGTGGCAACCCTACACAGGACAAGATAAAAATTGGTAGTGAGCGCACGGGAGAAAAAAGCAGCTTGCACAAAAGGACAACCCACTATATCCTCAAAATGATAAATGGCATAAAGTAATAAAGATAATAAATATAAATATATCTCAATGTTCTAGTGTCATAAATGAAAATACTTATAAAAATACTCATGACATTAGCAGATATGCACTATGTTATTGCAGGTGAAGCGCTCTGAAAATAGCGCTGTAGTGAACAAATGAATAAAATCGTGTCGCGTTGAATGGCAGCGCAAAAGTGATCCAGCAAAACTGTATTAGTGACAATAGTAAAAACATCCAACAAATGTAATGGGTAAAACACATAACGAATGTATCAATATTCCAAATAATTAATCCAATATAGTCCAATATATATTCGTGATAACAGGTGATAGGTGACTCGGTGATAAAATTGATCTGTTGAATGTACTCACCAGAAGCGCATATTAAATGTGCATTATAATCAAATAGCTCCTCCACAGGTCAGACTCATCCACCGTTATGCCCAAAGTATGGGAAAAACACTACTGGCATATCTCAGAATTAGGGGATAAATCCAGCAGGCCATTCCACCATCAGCAAAAACTCAGCCACACCTTGAAGGGAACAGCTCACAAGAACGAGCCCAAAGAAAAAAGCGCTTATGGTGCAGTATTATTTATTAAATGAATCAGAAACATCCACATGGACTAAATAGTAAAATACACTCACAAAGATGGCCACCGGACTTTCATGAGGACGCTGCGGCATGACGTCAGTACGACAGGCTCCTCCCTACACAGGAATGTGGTGCGATTCCTGTGCGAATTACATGCGGTGTCCACATAGTGTGAACCCGAGCTTAACGTTATGCACAATCTCGAGACACCCCATTCTAAAATGTAAAAAACGGAGCTAATAGTTTAACATATTATAGCAGCATCCACACATGTCGGACACCCAGGGTCGGACTCATGGGGCCCCCAGGGAATAGGGGCTCATGGGGCCCCTGTGTCCTTGCCCAAACTCAAAAAAGCCTATGAAAAAGGTACCAGGGGCATCTCATGGGGCCCCCTACTGACCCTGGACCCTCGGGCAGTGCCCGACTTTCCAAATGGTCTGTCTGCCCCTGGGGACACCCATCATTAGAGGGGATGTTTTCCTCCACCTTTGCACACTGGTACTGAATAGTATCCCAGCGTTTCTCTTTTCTCAGTTTTTCTTTCTCTCTGCTAATGCGACCCCAGTGCTGACAGAGAGCTGTAGGAAAGGGCAAAACAAGGGTGCCGAGTTGGCACTCAATGTCGTCCTTATCAACCAATAAAATCATTGGTTGTTAGGATGCCAGTGGTTGACCTGCACGGTGCCCAAGGTTGTAATGCTGGTTTAAAAAGGCTGTACTAGGGGCATGTATACATGTGGCTGCAGAGTGTGGAATGTTTTAGCAGCTTATAATAGGCCTAGTACTGTGACAGCTTCCTGGCCAGCTTGGTCAGGTGGATTCAGACTTGGATCCAAAAACAGCAAGCTCATCCTTAATCTAAACACACCGTCCCTACTGTGAAGCATGGTGGTGGCAACATCAATGTGTGGGAATGTTTTTATACAGCGGGCCCAGAAAGCTTTAGAGGGTAGAATGAATATCCCCTTTTACACTGGTGTGCTTTTGCCACACTTTTCCAGGTTGACAAAAAAGCGCATGAAAACTATTCCTCATTAAATCCTATGTAACTGTTCACAGTGCAGGTCTGCTGCACTTTGAAAACTCCTGAATGCTGCATCTTTGGTGCAGTTTTTCAAAAGCACATCAAAAAGGCACCTTCCATTGTGTGTCAACATCAAAAGCACAGCAGTGTGAAGGGGCTCATAATATAATCAAATCTTGTAGGAAAATCAGAGGAAAAGTTGTGAGAAGGCTTGTCTCTCAGCAAGACAAAATCCCAAACATACTATTATATAATGACTTCAAGGCGCTTTATATGTAGTAAGCTTTTTTATGTTCTTTCACTGTAATTCATTTTAGTGGTTGTAAACCTCAAACATGAAATCTGAACACAGCACATAGGGTTTCCTTGACTCTTTCCAAAGCACTAAGTGTCATTTCTCTGTGCTCTCTAGTTCCTCTATTAGGCTCCATGCACACGGGGCGTTTTGATAACTCTGGTAACGTTAGCTGTGTAAATTCATGTTAAAAACGCAAGTTTTCAGCTTTTTTTTTAGCATTTTTGCATTAGCGTTTAGCGTCATTTTGCCGAAATTAGCAGCGTTTTTCCACGTTAGCGTTTTGTAGTGTTTTTTTTTACCACAAAAAATTTTTTATTTGGTCAAAAAAGTCCAAAAACGCTGGTTTGCTGCGAATTAGAGCATTTTACCTTGTGTTGCCAAGTTTTTCAGCATTAGAGAGTTTTTACAGCTAAAAAAAAAAACCCCCTAGAAACCCACTAGTCCTGGGGGGTTTTTTTCCAACCAAAAAACGGCCCAGCCAAAAAATGTTGATTACAGTCTATGTGTGCATGGACACATAGGATAACATGCTGGGGGGTTTACTGGCTGTAGAAAAAAGTCAAAAGCCAAAAACAGCAGCTGTAAAAACGTCTAGTGTGCATGAGGACTAATCAGCATGAGTCAATTTTGACAAGTGTTTCTGACACCAAGAGATAAAAAAGGTGACAGAGGCGGGAGCTCCAGCACACAGCTTGTGATTGACAGCCTCTTTTCCTGTGTGCCGTGTGAAGTTCCTTCCCTCCAATCAGCTGTCTGTGTGTAACTGCAGTTCTCCACCCACTGCTTTGTGAGAAAATCCTTTTCATCTCTGAATTTTACAAGGATGTACAGGACAAAGGGCTTCAAATAAACAGGTACAACTTATGTAGGTGGATTTGTTTCACCTGAGGCCAGTCACTTCACTGAGTATAGGTAAACACTTACAACCACTTTAAATCACTTTGCAAAGATCTGTTTTCACTTTAGCATTGAAAACTCTGTTTCTCTTGATCAGTGAAAAAAAATGATATTGAAAGTGAATTAATGTTCTATGGCAATAAAACATTCAAAATTCCAAGTGTGAAAACTTTATTTTACATAACAGTGAAAAAAGCCAACATTCTGACCTGCCTGTATGTCTTTCACGATGGTCGATGAGTGAAATTTCCTCTTCATTGACATTGTCCTAAAGAATTGGCACCACACAAATGCATGCATATGCTTAAGGTGACTTGCAAAGGTCTGGAGCAAGAAATGTAGCGGACAGCTTGCTCATACCAATCAGATCCCAGTTGGCATTATTTGTAGTGCAGATTAAAAATGAAAAACAGTCTTTAATTGGCTACAACTGGCAACTCAGACACTCTTCCTCTGCTTCTTCAAGGTATGGGTGTATTCACACCATCCACCGCTTTATAACACAGAGGCTGGTGTGTGCTGCAGGCCAATGGGTACCACCACTCCTTTTTTGTTTTTTTTTAAACAAACTTTATTGACATGTCACCCAGACATTTCATTAAGTTCAATTGGCTGCTGTGCGGTGCCTTGCGCTGCACTTTGGTACGCTGAAACAAAGTAATGCATGCACTATTCTTTTTCAGTGCCCACACACCATCACAAGGCAGTGATGGGAATCGGGTACACGGGAGACAAGCCACCTTGCCTTGTCACGCAGTGGGACTGCGCTGGAATAACCGCTCAGCACAGTCCCATTGCATCTGGTGTGAATGGACCCTAAACATGAAAAAATATGGGGCTGCCACTGATTACCTCCTAAAACTGTTAGTTCCCTGGCTGTCACAATGACTATCGTGCTTTCGAAGTCACTGACCTGGAACATGTATGCAGATCATAAGAGCTAGAAAAAAGTCAGAAATCTGTTTCTGTTCCTGGAAAGCAATTCTAAGCCCTGGTTCACATATATGCGGGCGTGCTGGCCGTGTTTTGCGTGGGCATGAGAGCCCATTCATTTGAATGGACTCCCGTGCTCCGTGACACTCAGGGAAGAAGTTCCTGAACTTCTGAAAACGCAGCCCACAAGGGAACCTCAGTTCCCAGTTCTGTTGCGATTTCCAGTGCGGGCGGTGTGCCATTAGAACTAATGGCGCCCACACGCAGGTTCGCATTCGCAGCCACACTACCCTCACATATATGAACCTAGCCTTAGTCAGAGAGCTGTCATAACAGCCAGGAGACTAGCATTTTCATAAGCAGAGGTTTCTATCCTGACAGATTGCCTGTAAAGCCCCATTCACACCTGAGCATAGTGGGAACGCACGATGTGCTTTGCCCTTCCATGTACACCTTACTGCTAAGGCTGGTTATAGGTTGGGACGGTTGCCATTTTTTGTGCAGGAACATGCGTTCCAACCAGGGGCGGACTGACCATTTGGAAACTCGGGCACTGCTCGAGGGCCCGGGGTCAGTAGGGGGCCCCATGAGATGCTCCTGGTACCTTTTTCATAGGCTTTTTCGAGTTTGGGCAAGGACACAGGGGCCCCATGATCCCCTATTGCCCGGAGGCCCCATGAGTTGTCAGTCCGCCCCTAGTTCCCACCCACTTTGTTTGCACAATTTTCGTGTGTGTGTTAACGTGCATTGCGCACAAGGCAGTCCATTCATTTGAATAGGCTGCCCTGCGTGCGACAGTCCCCCCAAAGAAGCTCCAGAACCTTTTCAGTTGTGAATCGATGCACATTTTTTCAGAGTGCATTTTGGTATGTTTGTAGGGCCACAAATACGCTTCTGCTACCCATTATCAATTAATGGCGCAGCAAGCAGGGCGCCTGATTGCAGAGCATTCCCAGCACATTTCTGAAACGTGCGACATAATGTGTGTTTTTCTCATTTGCTCAAAATTACACAGGTGTGAATAAAGCCGAAAAGCAACTTTCTTTTATTCCAGATAATGAACCTGTGAGATGACTATACTGTGAGGTTTTAGAACTACTGACAAAACTCTTTATTACTGCTTTTTGCGTGTTAATTGTGTATGTTCTATTTAAAAAACACTGTTCTTTGTATTTCCCAGAACGCTGTGCAGGCTGTACCAGACTGGGGAACTTTCATTTATGATTCAGTGTGACTAATGCCTCCTAATTATAATAAAGATTCAGACTAAAAACAACTTGTGCCATTTGTCATTTGTACACCTGCAGACGAATGCTCCAGCGCCTCCGAAGCAGAGTACAGAGGTTCTGAGATCTGCGTGGGTGTGATTGCAGGGTGGACGGCTCATTTCCCATCTGCACAGCTCCATAAACCCACTTCTCCTCTTTACATAGCTGAGTTTAAAGTGAAACTCCGCTTTTCCTGAGAAGAGAGCAACCCTTTCTTAAATGTTCCGTCCTGAAGTTAACAAGACAGGCCACTGCAGTAAATCCTTAGGTCTCAACCACACTGGACATCAAAAACAACATTTTTAAGGGCGTTTGACTGTTTTTTCTGCCTCTAAATATCCCTCCATGTTCATGCATACATAGGCTTTTACAGGCTTTTAGAGCCAGAAG